GTATATTTTGACCACTTCATAGTAACAAGGGAAGTTTAAGCTAAAGAGGGGGGAAAACATTATCATATTTCTCACACCATCACCAACTTGCAGGTCTTATAGCAGCAAAAGAATTGAATCAAATTATATCCCAAGCACTCATATACCAGTAAAAAATAAAATAGAACCCCCCACCATCAAATTTAATATTCTACCTCCGTCCAACTTGCATGATCTGGTTCAATTAACTTTTTGTCTACCATTGGACGCCGATTGCCTTTTCATGAAATTAAAAAAGACCAGGAATCGACAAGAAGACATTACCCATCCAATCCATCACAATTTCTATGACAATCTTTCCATTTGGAGGCGCTCTAAAATGTTTAAAACCATTATATTAATGATATTATATTAAACTATTTTCACAAGTTTCTAGAACTTAAGTCTATTTAACTAGAATTTGGTATAATGATTTCTCATTCAAACTAGCATTAGCTATTATATTAATTCTTTTTCTACTACTAAATTATATAAAATGGGTCAAATCAATAACTTAAACTCCACATACCAATTTCTAAACCGTAAAATGATATACAAATAAAAAATTAATAGAACATGGTTGGAGAAGAATGTTGCCTCTACCTTCACTAGGTAGGGGTAAGGTCAGCGTACGCACTACCCTCCCCAAACATCACCTGTGAAAATATACTGGGTTTGTTGTTTTTTTATAAGGAATATACTGGGTTTGTGGTTGTTGTTGGTTGGAGAAGAATGCTTTTTTTTTTTATAAATGTGGTTGGAGAAAGAATGTTGTTGATCCTTTATCAATGACTAAGTCAAAAAATGGAACTAATGGATATTACATGACTAGCAAATTTTCCAACAAGAGTAATTCTTTTCATTAGTTTCCCCTCTACCAAACAGAGGAGTAGTGGTTGCTCCAACGTTTTCTCCCTTGGTGATCCGAGCCTCAACCTTATAGTTGAAGGTGGATGATCCTTACCACTAATTTCTCTCATTAATTCAGTTTCCAACAAGTAATTTCTTTCAACTTCCTAAACTGATGCTCGCCCAAAAATAAAACTGAGAGCTTCTTCCAAAAAAATAGACAAGGGAGATGCTAATATGAACCGTTACATTTACACACTCTATGTAAAATATACAAAAATATTTGACTATTGAAGATGTTAATGCCGGTGAAAGAACTAGTCCGAAACAGATGAATCCTAGCACGACGGCGGATCCAAAATTTAAACTTAATGGCCTCAACCTTTAAGGTTTTTAGCGTTGAACTCAATTATACTCTGAAATTATGGTTCAGAACTTGATATTTGTAGCAATTTTAGTGGTTGGTGTGTGTGTGTGTGTGTGTGTGTGTGTGTGTGTGTGTGTTTGTGTTCCGTATAGAAAATATTAGGTTCACTTGAACCATTGAACATAGACTCCATCCGCGTTACCTAATGAAGACTAAATTACTGAAAAAATACACCTAACAGGTGATAAGATTTTACACATTTCTACCTTTCGCACAATGCCATGTGTGTCATATGCGAGGCGAGCATCCACTTCAGTAGAAACTCGACCAGGCACCAGCTTTGCTAGATCACCACCAACGTGTGCTAAAGCCTGTAATCAGAATGAACAATAGTTTGAGATAATCATCAATTACAAAAGAAACTGAAATACACCTAGCTAAAATAAAAAGTGCAACAACCTTGTTGAAGAAACAAGACATCTGAAGATCAGAATTCTCCAATCCATAACACTCAGAATCTGCTAAAGCTCTGTCTACAGCACTCTATATCAAACATATGCACTTAGGTCAGCAAAACATGAATCCAATTAGCGTCAATTTGGCTCATGCTTTTAAAATTTATTTACATGAACTGGTGCCAAGCTCTGTTTTAAATACTCAGGAAGATGTACATCCATATGGTATATAATACTATGATTTTACAGGTAACTCTATTTAATAGCATTGACAGGTAATCTTTAACAAATGATAAGTAACCTATTATAACAGGTTATATTGCACTGATAGTGTAAAAAGTTCAATACACTCAGTGCATATAACGTAACTCCATATAACATTTTCACTATAGCTTTGCGTGATATTTACTTGATTTATAGAAAAAAGTGTATATTCAAAAGTATTTTTAAGAGTTAATAATAATTATTACCTTAAATTTGGTGTCCGGAAGACCGCATATGCCTAAGAGCAGAGAAGAGCTTACAGTAGCAGCAGTAGGTGGAAATCTATAAATCCGAAACACAACAAATAAATAGTTACATCAAATGAAAATGGTTCAAGTAAAGAAGAAACGAAGCAAAACCAAAGCGCAATACTAACTTCTCGAAATCATCGAAAATGACAGTATCTGGAACGATCTCGCTATGACTTGTTACAGCATCCAACTCAGTACTCAAACCTAAAATCATCATAAGAAATTCACGGATTTCACTCATTTACATCATAAACAAATCAACTTAACTGAAAAATCGGAATTTTAATTATACATATCGAAAATCATACAGTACCGGTATCGAGAGACGAGGAGAAGCCAGTAGAAGCTCGGATGAGGGGAAAGGATCGACGAGGCTTGAAGATCAGAGTTGATTTCGACAAATTAACTGCATTTCTCAGCTTTTTTTCCTGTTCGATTACATACACAAATCATTGAAACATACGCATGTGCACATTACGCTCAAACACACACACACACAGTGACACGTACCTGAAGAGCTGAGGAAGAGGAGAGAGAGGAGTATAGCGGAGAATGCAAAGAGGATGACATTTTCAACTCAGAGAGAGGGAGAGAGTGTGTGTGAGCGAGTGTTGATTGAATTGAGGGAAGTGAACCCGAGGTCTATATATATGTACAACTGGAGCAAATCTGAGGATGTACAACTGTTTATGCGTAACGTATAGTTCAATATGCTGCTTTCTGAAGTGGCAATTCCACCTGGGAAATTGAACTTATTATCTAGGTACACGTACAACGGAATGGATAAAGGAGATATTCATAACATTAGTATTCTTAAATTTGATTTAGTGGCTAAAATTACCAAATTTAACTGTAAGATTTATTATAGTTAGTATAATAATAAACATTTAATTATTTTCTTTCTTGGCTTATTAAATGACATATATATTATTCTCAAATTTTAGATATGATCTTCAAGAAAGGTTCGGGCTTTACTAATCATATGGGCTTGTTACATTCAAAAGTGGGGAAAAAAATCAGAAATAACTAGATTTACAATCGGTAATTGAAAAATAGTCATAATTTTAAAATTAATAGAGATTTAGCCACTTTTTCTTGTAAAGATAAGAACAAAAACATCCTTAAAAATCTGAAAAAATTCCAGCATAATATGCTGGAGTTCGAATTTTTTACATATGAGATTTCATCATAATGTGTTGGAGTTCCAACATAATATTCTGGAAGTTTATACGTAGGAGCTCCATAATCCAGCATATTATGCTGGAACTTTCTGTATGCTGGAGTTCCAACATAGTATGCTAGAAGTTTATACGCAAGACATCTATAATCCAGCATATTATGCTGAAACTTTTCGTGTTTCAGCAAAATAATGGCTACTTTTCAGTGACTTTGCAAATGCTTGCTATTTTTCAATTACCAATCCAAAACTGGCTAGCCCGTGCTATTTTCACTCCAAAAGTTCATAATACAATCCTTTGTTTTTAGTTTTATAGTATATTGGTATACATAAATCTCCTTTTTGGTTCTTGAGTTAAGAAGGGGGTGGTTCAATTAATAGACTATAACCTGCTATTTTGCTGAAAGTACAAAGTAATCACATCTGACCTAGAGCAACCAAAAAGCTAGTTTTTCCCTCATTTATTGTGGGCTATGCTTCAATTTGCGAATAACTCCAGAACGAGCAATTGACATAATAAAATTCTTAAAAACAAAATACCACCTCAAGAATGTTCCTTTTTGTGTTCCAGCTCTAATCAATAATAATTTTAGTGGTTCTTTTGCAAAATAACCACACAAAAAAACGAATAGATAAAGATGAGAGGTTAAAGAAATTATTTTTCAAATTGAGGAAGCCTTTGGAAACATAGGGAGATGTTATGAAATAAAACATGTATGGCTAGGTCATAGCATAGACCAACTAGGATTCTTTTAGGTACTAGGAGTATATTTATTTCTAGTTTGATATCTCTTTTATAAAATATTGTAATAGGATTAGGACTTTATTGACAATATCGAAGGGACAATGCAGATTATAGAGGATGGCATGCATACAGTGACGGAGCCAAAATTTTTATTAAGGGGTGACAAAATATATAACAGTAAACATTCCAGAAAATTAAGGGAAGGCAATACGTAATATACATACATATAAATTTATTTTTTACCTACCTATACAGTATATTTTCTCCGCAAAGGGGTGTCATACAAGGTGGCTCCGCCACTGCATGCATATTATAGATTTTTTGACAAAATCTGCGTAAATATGTATATCAGAAAGACTATGACCTAGCCATATTTGTTACTCCTATTTGAACTTCCATTTTTTTAAGGTGGTGATGTCTACTCGATTACTCCATTGGTATATGCTTCCTCCACAAGCATATAACTCTGTCCATTAAGACTCAGAAAGATACCGAAAATTTTGTCCCGCACAAGCCAAGTATTTGTATAACTCTGTCCACTAAGACTCAGCAAGATACCGGAAACTTTGTCCGGCACAAGCACAAATACTAGGCTCTATAATTTAAAAATAAGAATAGTATATGAAACATATCATTTGTCCTATTATTTGCCTAATTATGCTCATTAATTAACTATAGTTCAGTAATAAGAGCAGTTATCTTAAAACATATCATTTGTTTATTGCTTCCAGCTATTTGATGAGATTACACAGAAAGTAAGAGCTAAAAACATATGAGGATATGTTACTTCACTTTACTCAACACACTATTTAATCACTTTTAGAAGTACAAAGCTCTATGAATTCTTAATGAAAATCACACACAAAGCCAGGTATAGGTTCAAAACATTTCATCTGATTACTACTAACTCAAAAGAGAAAGGTCTTCCTTTGATCAAAACCTTCCATTTCCAAAAAAAGGATAAACTAAAGAATACAAAAACAAACCAAAGAAAGAATAAGACTTCCAAAATTTCTACCTTCATAACATAGTAAAACAAAGATTGAGAAATGACTTCAGCTTTTTCATGAAAAACTATAGAAACCTAGTAATAGCAGTTTTTTAAACCAAAAAAACTATACTATTTCCCTCAGCTTCCTCTCATGCTTTTTATATATCTTTATCCTCCATTGTCCTTGCAAGAGATTCCAAGAATTCTTTGACCTGTGCATCAATTCAATTTCCTGAGTTAAGATTACAATCACAGAAAAATTCAGGCATTTAACATCAAGAATGATTTCGCAACATACCTCTGAAGGATCTCTGAGAGAGAAGAAAGCATTGCTCTCTTTTGGGATAGTTGAAACAAGAATTCCATAACCTTGATATTTTCCCCTCAATGCCTGAAACAAAATATACTCATCAAATTAAGATATGAGACAAAATAACAATGTACATATTCAACTTAAGATTAGGAACAGAAAAAACAATGTATTCATACACAATGTCTGTGTATTACCTTGAATGCATCTTCGTCTGTTCTGTCATCTCCAATATATATCGGGAGCACGTCATTGCTGTTACTAAAACCTGCATGATTGCACATGAATTTAGTTAAGAAGCGCAGAATTCTGTAACTTAAAGGGCCCTCTGAGGACCCTGACTTCTCTAATTCTCCGTCCACTACCGACATAACATTACTTCGATCTCTTAGGGGTTTCGGAAAGGGATGAGGAGGAAAGGATCAATAAAAGCACAGGGAAGGAGCTACATACCCAGTGATTCTAGCAGGAATTCAACTGCTTTTCCTTTGTGCCAATCAATTACAGGGCGGAGCTCTAAAACCTATTCAGAAAAGAAAAGCACAGGGATAGCGATAATTATTTCATTACTATACTGTTGCAGTAGCAAGGAATTGAAATGGAGACTAGGTAGTTGCATCAAGTTACCTTCCGCCCATGAGTTAGCCGTAGCCGAGGGTAGTCTTTCAAGATATCATGGACATATTGTGCAACGACTGGCCAATTCTGCGGTCAAATGAAGATCATTAGATGTCTGTTCTTTTGTTAAGATAGGCAACTTCAATATCCAGTTGACATTATGAAACAGCAACAAGAAACGCTGGTACTCACATTTTCATCTACATTACGGTAATGTACAGAGGCACAAAACTTATGGTGCTCAACCTTTGCCCCCTTAATGTCTTTAGTTTTCTCGACAAGGGTTTTAAAAACCTGCAAAGTAGTCAAACAAGTTAAGTTCACATCTTAAATTACCTTTTTTTCTTTTCTGGATGAAACAAAGAGTCATCTACTGGTTTGAAATGCTTTTAGAGAAACCTTCTAAAGCACCTACCTCATCAATCATAGGTAAAAATTTACGAGCAGGCTGGAACAGATTAACTTCCTTGCCCTGCTCAAAAAAGTTTTGTAAAAGCAGTTAGGAAATTAGGAAAGTTAAGTCAGAAATTGAACTAGATAACAATGTTTACTAGGGAATGAATGAGGACAAAATCTGATAAAGCATCTAATGTAATACCTGCTGATCAGTAGATTTAATACACTTAGAATCGTTAGTAGACGGCATATTTTTGACTGGCAGCATGATGTCCATACCATGGCTACCGGCATAATAGAGTTCAGTTAGACCTACCAGCTCATAAACCTGAAACGATAAAGATCATTATACATCACTTCTGCAAATGAAGAGAGCTATAATATGTACATGGTATTAACATTAATAAAATCTAAATTACTAATTACCAAATAGTTACCTTATCACGTCTTCTTCCGCTGATGATAGCTGTTGGGAAATACTTTGCAACATTCCTGACAGCAGAGCGCATCTGCAGAATATATGATTCTTGCGTAAACATACACAGATAAGCATCTTAATTTCATATGAGAATTGGATTTACCTCATTGGACATAAAAGCACGGTCAGGATCATCAACAATCGGAGAAAGGGTCCCATCATAATCTAAGAAGATGACTATCTGTTTATTCCTTGCTTGCCTCATAATTTGCTGAAAGGAGTTGAGAGCTGATGGATACTTGATCTAGACAAAGAAAAGAGCTTTGATTATTATTATGCAAAGATAGAATTCATCGCATCCAAACAAATAGATCAGTGTGCTGTTGGTGAAAGTCTAACATACCGTCCAAGAAAGGTAAGTAACATCAGCGTCATCGGAAGAAACATCAATGTTTACTTCCTTCAGAATCTTCTTCCTAGGAGGTGAAGAAGACATCATAGAGTCAAGCCAACCATTGGATCGAACATCATCAAGCTTCGCTGGCTTCTTTCTAGGAATTGTTAGCACGCTAGTGGAGAATGAAGGACCAGATTGTGAGTAAGGCAACAAACTAGAATAAATCCCCAATCTGGACTTGTTCAATGGTGAAGGATCCGTAAGAACTGGAGAGGCTTTCGTCGAATTTAAGTCCATTGAAACAATATGAATTTGGGTGATTTTGACTTTGCGATTGACAGCTATGCAGTTGGAACTTCTTACTAGTGGATGTATAGGAGTGCCGAATCTTTTAACCAACCCTTTTGTCAATGAAAAACCACCTCTTCAAAGTTTTCTTATCACTACTGCTGGGAATAGAGTCCATTAAGTACGGGCTTCCTGCAATCTGGACAAGTCGGAAGTGTCAAAGGAGATTCTGAAATTGGTTGTCTGATTTAGACAATGACAGAAACCGATACCTCATCTCCTGAACCACACTGCATTTACACTAGAAACAGAACATTTTGGCTCGCACAATTTAGTCGAGTCTCACGTGTACCTGGGACAAATTACTTTTGCGTCAAAACAACATGGAGCAAACAAAGAAAAGGAAACATTTAATGTTAACAGGAGAAAATTTGATTTGAATCCTTACAGATTGATGTATTAAGTTGGATTTAAATGCATTTCCATTTGAAGAAAACAGTAGAACCAAAACAGATACAACACCTTTTTTCGCTCACTTACGACAATCCATTTCACCCTAAGTTTGGACAAAAGCCGTTTTACATTAAGATCAAAAGTTTTTTTTTTGGCAGAGAAGAGAATGAAAGCCAAAATAACAAGGACTCTTCTTTGGAATTTCTCAACAGGTAACAAATTCATCTTCCATAAATTTCTACAAAAAGGTAGTAAAAACAACCATGAGCAGAAAAGGCATACATTTGGCTAGAGGTGGACTAGTGGGGAGAAGTCAGGTGCGGGCGCACCAACTGCCTTTACCTCAAAAATGTATATGTAGTCGAAAATCATTAAAATACATCTCTTTATATTAAGTTTGCTTCAATTACCACCAAAGAGTAGTGCATAAAGTGGTATTCTACATCTGCTAACTTAAAATTCGATATCGACCTCCCGAATTAGCTTCTTGGTAACACAAACTCAGGATCCACAGTTTCCTCAGTTTCCTCTTGGAAGGATATATGACTACACATTAAAGGACCTACTGTTTCAGCCTAAGTTCTGGTGAATGTTAATATGGAAGAGGAACAGGTACATTACAACTTTTTAAGCTTACAGCTCACTCACACAACAAACAAAACTTTCCAACTCTCTCTTTGTACTCACTAAAAGGGACCAAAAGAAAACCACCAAATTTGTTCACTCTTTTCCAACAGCTAGAAGGTGGTGTTCATTTACTTTCCTGTCACCATTCCATTCAAACCATTGACTTCTAAGGAAAAGGGAAAAAAGAAAAAGTATAAAAATCACTATTTTTTGGTAAATCTTATGGGATGGACAGTCAAAACTTCAAAGGAGAATTGATATCAAGATAAATGCCAAGATATACAAAAGATGCATCAAGAAAACTAGATTTTGTCACACCATCGACTACATCTTGAACCCCTTCTATTTTCTATCTACCAATACAACCCGTGACGAAGCCAGAAATTTTTTCAAGGGTGTTCAAGTTTGAAATAAGTGAAAAAAATTTCCCGATAAAGGGTGTTTAGTATATGTTATGCACCTCTAAAACCTAGTATTTTATCTATATACACAGTGTATTTTTCGACGAAGGGTGATCAATTGACCACCATTCAAATAATGTGGCTTCGCCCCAGCCAACAACAACAAACAACAACCACCCAATGGATTCCCACAAGTGGGGTCCGCGGAGGGTAGGATATAAGCTCTTAACATTACCTGAGAGGACAAAGAGACCATTTCCGATAGACAGCTAATATCTTTTATCTACCAAAAGAGGCAAATAGTATGATCTGGCTTAATTATGAAGCCATCAGTAATTATCACTAAGCTTAAAGTTGTATCACATAGGAGTAGTAATACTTCTAGATGGAACTGAGATATAAGGCTGGTGTATTAAGTGAAAAGTTTATGGGCTACCAAACTTTTATTTTCTTTCATTTTTGCTTTTTTGTCATTGAAGCAGAAAAGAACAAAACCCTTTTTCAGCAATAGTACATCCCCCAAGTAATCAATGACAAGCTGAAAGACTTAACATCTCAACGTACCCTACATGATTTTTACCTTTTCCAACTAAAAGCTCAGATCTGAAAGCCAACCCAAAAGTTGAAAAAAAGAAAAAGATAACTATTGATTCAAGTAACGCCATTTTTGTACTTGCAATGATATGACTTCCCAACCTACATGTCAAGACAACCTACTTGAACCCTACCATGAAAAAAGGTGAAAAGGAAAGCTCTAATATAAGGAACTTATAGACTTAATTTAAGGTATTTTTTCTGAGCCTTAGTCCCAACAAATAACATCTCATGACACGATAAACTTAAAATCAGCAAGCAAGTGTAATTGAACCTCATAGTATAATAAAATTCTAGAAAGGAGAAAGGATTACTACAAACACAACTACTATGCCTTAGTCCCAAATAAGCTAGGTCGGCTATATGATTATCACTTCTCCATTTAAACTTAAATCATGGCACTATCATACCAAATAAAATAAAAGTGAAAAAAGGTTAAAAATATATTGTTAATAGTAATAATTATAATAACAATAATATTAGAAGTTCTCTAACCAGACTAAAACCTATTCCAACTAGTAGACATCACAATATATAGATCTTTTTATTTCATTGTGTACCATCTTTAACAAAGTCTACATTGATTATACAAAAATTTGTAGGTCTTTCAAAAAAAAGAAGAAAAAAAATAAAGATAAGAAAAATAACATGCAAAATAGTAGCCAAGAATTCTTAAGGATTGTCCATAAGTTGGCCTAAAAGATCCCCAACCGCCATGTTGACTTGAATCAAAATTTTAAAAAAAAATAATGAACAGTTAGTAAGTAATTTATACGAGGGCGTTAATAACTACATAAGGAATCAGCTGACTTTAAAAAAAATGTATGCTTATTGCTTAGTTCCATTTTCCGCGGGTAAACCACGAAAACTGATAATGACACATAATCAATACATTTCAACATCTTACAGCAACCGACAAAATAAAATAATTTAAATTACACGACAAAGCTAAATTAAGTACTTTTATTTGGTGCTGTCAAATCAATTATTAACCGATAAAAGCAACAACTAAATTTATGATTGTACAGGACTCACAAATCTAATCTGCAGAAAAGCCAGAAACACCTTTCATGGAGGTTTTAAAGATACTAAAAGAAAAGAAAATTACAGAAAGGACCAAACTTTTTAGCTCATAAATGATTCTTTGCAGAAAACCCAAAACAAAAAATGGCCAAAGTTTACACCTTTTGCATGTCCCACAATGGAAAAGAACCATAGAATTAAAATGGGTATCCATAAGAATTTCCCAAAAATAGATAAAATTCCAACAGCATTGCATGAGGAGGAAAAAAAGGGCAATCTTGAATCAACAAAAAACAAGCTAAAATGCCATAAAAATACCTGTCTGAGAATTTATATCTTAGACCTTAGAACCAATCTTGAAAATCCAATTCAAAAGCCTAAAAGAATTGTACACAAAACACATCACATCAGATTCAAAGATGAAATGAAGAAAAGGAGTAAAGGCAAATAATGGAGGAGAAAAGAAAAAAAGAATAATCTACCTTTGGGAAAAAAACGGCAGGTGGAGAAAATAAAAAAAGAAAACCCTAAAAATGGAGGAGGAAATGTAACGGAATATAAAGAGAGAGAAAAATGAAGGGAAAAAGAGAGAATTGGAGGTGGAGAAACCTAAGTTTATATAGAGTTTGATAGCCCCAAAAAGACGTGCCAAACAAGGAAACCTCTTCCTTCGGTTGTTGAATCAGGAAACACAAATTAATTAATTAATTAATTACCATTATAGCATTATTAGGCTGCTAACATTTACTCTCTTTTCTCGCCAATTTTTACTCGTACTCCGACCACTAACACTCACTATATTTCTAAGAGCCAAATCTCCTTATTCTAAGTTACCTCAATAGTATATGATTTGATGAATTAGTCCTCTAAGTTTTACCTTTTTCTTTGGAGTATATTCTTTATATTCCACCCTTTTATGTTTTGAAGGGGAAAATTACTGTCCAGGTACAATGAATATAGTTGTTTGTTGAGCAGTTGAATTGTGAAAGTTGTGCCTATTTTTGTATGAATGACGAAGATTAATTTTTGTTTGACGTCTATCGTTTCGAGATATATATACAGCTGTTTGTTAGAGAGTTGAGTCATAAATATGCAGCTTGAACTTTCTTTTATTAAACGAGTTACTTCTGTTCAAATTTTACCACATAAAGATAATGATATAGTTGCCCGTTGAAAATTATCAAATCTCGGATCTCTGATTGAACTTTACAATAAGTAAATTTATAAAATGCCCAAAATAAAAAAAATAAAGATTATTGGACACCTTAACATTTACTATTAATAGTTATGTTGCACGTGCATTGCACGCACATGCCATGTCGATCATTACAGATTTGGTATCCAAAAATAAATAAGATTAAAGTTTTTTTTTTTTGGGTTCTAAAACAGTTATTAATGTATGCACAAAAGTTAGTCAACGTAATTGTATATCTATATAACATCTGGTGAAATTAATTTTATCTCCTCGTATTCTTTACTACACTATCAACTGTACCTAGATATATTTCACCAATGAAGTTATGAATACTGTTGTTTAATTTGTTGAACTGATGAGTTGTAGAGGGGTATGCTTAATTGTTTGTTTGACTTCATTCTAAAGATTGATTAATATTGTTGGAGAGTTGAGTTGTGGAAGTTGTGCTTAAATTTTTTTTTTTATTAACATGAGTTTATCGTGCAAAACAAGTGAATGGCGGTCGTTTATTTGAAGGTTGAGTTCCAAAAATTGTGCTTAACTTTTCCTTAAGACGACATAATTTTTTTTTGAAGTTTGCCTTTCATAGATAATGAATGTCGTTGTTCATATTCATTAGAGGATTAAGTTGAATGGTGATTAATTTTCGCGTTGATTAGAACTCTTTAATTAATTTATCCCCGAACTTTACCAACTAAATATAGAGATGATGATTTAATTAGAGGACGAGTTATGTACGTTGTAACAATTATTGTGTTAATTAATGATTTAATGTTTCTAAGAATTTTACCGTATAAGTATTATAAGTTGTTCGTTGGATGATTGAGTTGTGAATGCTGTTGTGAGAATTCTTCTTAAGTTTTGGTTTGACTAAGATTTTATTTTCATTTGAAATATACCTTCTAGAGATAAAATAAAAGTTGTTTCATGTTGGTGATTTGAGTTGCGTAATTCATAATTATTTCCTTTTACCAAGTCCGTCGACTATTACACAACAGCATTAGAGCAGTCAATATGGGCTTGGCCGTTGGGCCAGCCCAACCCAGCCGGTGATTTAGCAGGGTTGGGCTAGAATTTTTGGAGCCCGTTTAAAATTGAGGCTTTTAAGCCCGGCCCGAATAAGCCCGTGCCCGTGAGGCTTGACTGAGGCTGGGCCGGGCCGTCCCGTGGGCCTAATAAAATATTTATTTAAAATATATAAAAAATAAAAAGTATACTGCCTTTAGAGATGAAAAGTCAGAATTGGATCTTTACTAAGGGGAATCAAAACTTATCTTGAGAAGTTTCAAGAGATGGATGTTATCATGTATTGGAAGAACCATTCTAGAAAATATCTCGATCTTTCAATGATGGTGCGTGATGTACTTAGTATTCATATTACCATTGTAGCATCGGAATCAACATTTAGCATTGGTGGCGTGTTCTTACAAAGTACAGAAGTTGCATTTATTATGAAAATGTCCAAACACTTGTTACTACTCGAAATTGGCTGCACGGTTTTCCCAAACTCAAACTGGTAATATTATTTTTATGTGAATTTAAATATTATTAATTTTTTTAAAATTTAATTATTTTTAATATTAACTAATTAATATTGCAAATGAATTGTAGATGAAAGTGAAGATGTTAAGACAACCTTGTCACAAGCAGATTCAAATGTGTTTAATGAAGATAATGTGTTGGATATCTCATAAGCATCATGAACGTTCTTTTGAATAGTTTGTTTTAAGTTTTGACTTTCAGTGAATGAAATAGTCTTGTCTTTTACTTTTTTTAGTGTTTGTCGTGATATATTGGAACAATATAAAAAGTTAGTAAGTTTTGCAAATTTTTTCCAATAAGATTTTTTTTTAACTTTTAAATAATTATCTTTTTTTAGATCAGAACTTAAAGAAAAAATATAAAATTATATTTTTAAAAATGATGGGCCGGCCCGTGGGGGCCCGCGGCTCACATAGGGCTGGGGTGGACTGACAAGTGTAAGGCATCAAAATGGTGGGCTAGCCCAGCCCAGCCCGTCAATTGCTAAAGCCCACGTGGGCTGGGCTGGGCTGGGCTAGCCCGGCCCGGCCTATATTGACAGCTCTAAACAACATATTGTGAAAGTCTTATTGGAAAGTCGTAATTAAGAGCCATTAAAATTCAAACTCAAAAATTTGTGTCAATTATAGTTTAATAAAAATGTTAAATTTGACTTCGAATAGCTTATCGCAATTCTCAGATCTCGCAGTTCTAATGAATTTTCAAGGTTCTAATACTTTTGATTGATATTAATATATAGCTCTAATACCATAAAATCATAAAGTACAGACGATAATAGTATTTTTATTGTTTTGAATGTCATTATGTCAATGTCGACAGTCACTGTTATTACTAATTGTATTACTATTATTAATAATGTCTATGGAAAGGTATGGTAAATCTTAATGGTTTTTAGATGAAGACTAATAGGGTAGAGACTGGAAGAAAAATATACAACAATGAGTCATCCGAGAAAAAGTAACATTAAACTCATTTTCTTTGTAACTTCCTAATATTAATAATTCTAATCTAACGTATTCATACATGACTTTAATCCAACAAATAGAAAACTATCATAGTACCATTACATCATTTGGGCAAAACAGAAAGAAAAGAAGAAAGATGAGAAGCATAAGTTCAGGGTTCTTTTTCTTTTCTAGAAGACATAGCTAAATAATTTTAAAGAAATAGTAATTATAATGTAATTATGTTATGACACATAAATGGAGGGAAGGAAAAAATATAATACGTGAAAACGTATACGTCAATACATACGCAATTGTTACGTCGACATACGATTTGATCACACAACAGCGTGTAGTGTCGGGCCGAATGCGCGGGCTGTACCACGTGGATTACCGTCAACGACACGTGGCTGTGCCACGCTTCTATATGACACGTGGATGTTGATGATGTGGCGCGCTGTTGGATTCCACTTTTTTTTATAATTATTTCTCAGCTTTTGGCCTCATCCTCCTAAAAACAAAAAAGTCATGCTCCTTTTATTTTAGCTCTCTCTATCCCTGATTCTCACGTGTCAACCAGATCTAATTTGATTTTATTTTTTCGTAAGATTCAAGTTGATCTTGTGGTTTAATTTTCTTGATTAAACTTGAAATATAATTTACCTTTTAGCATGTATCTTAATAATGCATCTATCTCTAAAAATAAAAATAAAAATTTGATCTTCGACCATTTAAGATTAGCAGAATAGTATATTTGATCAACTCTTATGTCTTTTGATTCCATGATTTATAACAAGGAGTAATAATTTTGACTATTGAATGTATTTTTAAAAAATAATGTTGCAAAAATGTAAGAAGTCATTTTTTCCCGAATTTATAGTATTCTCGTCCTACATCATTAACCTCCAATTACAAGACAGTTTGGTGTACGAAACATTTCACATTTTCACAAAAGCCAGAGAAGGGTCGCACCTCGAGAATGTGACGGAGACAGCCTACTCGAATGCAAGCATTAATAGCTGATTTCATAATTCCAATTCGTAATTTATAGGTCATACGAGGACAATTTCACCGGTGACTTATATTCTCAATCCCCAATTATTTTCTTAAATTCTTTATCTTCAAGATACATTTGTTTCAACTTCAACCGAAAATGCCTAGGAGCCTATTAAATATAGCTAGGGTTTTAAGGAGAAAGGTGGATATGGGGCCCGATAGAAAACCAGCGGGTTTCTCGAAAATCACGTGGAATCTTCTATATATAGTTACAAAGAAGGTTGTATTAACCGCGAATGCTTGACTTGCGGGGAGCAATACCCGCATGATTATGAATATTTACTATACTCGCCACATACGCCGTTTATTTTGTTTACTTTTCCCATGCAAAAGTCAAAAAACGTTAGCAACGAGGAGTATTTAAATACAATAAATTTCTAGATCAGGTACTCCCTCTCCGGTCCAAAATAAGTGATTTTTTGGATGTTTTTACATATTAAGAAATCTATCTGTTAGCATTAATTAGTAATGGAATTGACCATATTAACCTTTACTATCTCACATAAACACTCTTAACACATATTCCAACACTATTTACTCCAAGGACAATATAGGAAAAAAGTAATTAATTTATTCTTGAAAATTGAAAAAATTACTTATTTTGGACCACAAGAAAAAGGCCAAAAAATTACTTATTTTGAACCGGAGGGAGTAATTGTTATAGAGTTTGGATTCTATAAACTATTTTTTTTTGGGTACACATGATTCCATCATTTTCAGTTACTCATTAACTACAGTTCTTATTTTATCAATTTTCTGTTTCTCATATGATCTAAGTTCGTAAGCGATAGAGGTAGATCCGAAATTTCAAGAATATGGATGTACGATTACAACGAGGTGAATCCAAAATTTATTTT